CAATACATACAATTATATATAAATCCGTTGATTGTTTTCCAATTTTGATTTCTTTTTGTGCATGCTGCTATTTCTTTATTTATAAACCAGTGATTGTTTTTTAGTGTCAGGGATAGAACTTTATTTGAAAACACACAAGCAAAATTTTGCTTGTTGATTTCAAATGTACAAGCAAAAATAGGATTTTGAAGAAATTCAAGGGGCAATTTTTTTTTGGATGAAAATACTATCTTATGTTATGTTATACATTGGAGTGTACACATATTCCTTACATTTCATTAAAAAGATAATGGCTAATAAAACAAAACGATGAACACCCAAAACTGTCCTCAACACTAGAGCTGGGAGATATTCCTTGAAATATCGCGATATAATCACTATATTGCGATATTTTATGAAATGTCAATACTTTCAGTTTATCATCTTTTAAATGTAAATAACCATGCATAAGAAGTTGGAAATACCCCTGGAGTATTCACTTAACACTTTCTAGTCAGTACTATTATTTCTAGTCAATATTATTTTTCGCACACACTACCGAATCTATAAACAAAATTTACAAACTTGCAAAAGTTGTTGTTAAATTCCATTTTTTTTAATTTTCAATATTATAATATTTTATTTAAATCAAAAATATTTACATATGAGGGAGGCACAAAAAATATATAAAAAAAGTTTGTGTTCTTTTCGGCCGGGCATATTTTTATAGCTACCCTTGAAAACTCGTTTTTTTCTCATTCAAACGTATACCTTTTTGAAGATGCATTATATAATACAAGGATAGTAAATTAAACTATAAGACATAAGTACTATGTCAAAAAGTGTCCATTGATTTAGTCAAATTGAAATAGCGATTTTTCAGATCACGGCCAGCTATGCATGACACGTCCGATGCTGATTTTGAAAATAAAGAACTTATTATTATTATTATTATAATCAGTTAATGATAATTAAATCTGTCTACCGGAACTCTCAAAGTATCGGTATAAACAATTTGTCAAGATGTATTGAAATTGAACAGAAACGGATAATGCTAACGGGTGGAAAAGTGAGCGAGAAGTCACGTGACGTATAAACAAAGCTCTGTATCGGCATTTGCAAACTTCGTGGAATGAATACTCGGGAGTTTATAACAGTATTTATTCATCGTTAAGCAATAAAATATCGTAAATAACATCAAAAGGAAAACAGTCTTTCAATATTTATGTTAAATATCATCCAGAAAAATCCAAACCGCGATATATCGTGATTTTTTACTATTAATATACTGTTTGTGTTGCGTGAAACTTGAAAACCTTTCGCCAATAACGTTTATTTTTGATTGATGTCGGAATTTGTTTAATGGAATATTACGACAATAATGAAAGGACAGATTGTCTAACACTAAACGAGGTCAATTATGATATGTGTGTATTGTTTTTATTGAATTTGGTAAACTCCTAGCCAATAAAATATAAGATTTTTACCACAATAAAAACGATCAATTCGGGGAAAAACTGAAGAATTCCGAATGTCTGACAAAGAAATCTGAATACATGACGCATATGTCACAAAATGCCAGATATAGACATCCCTTTATTTACATTTTGCAAGGAAGGAAAATAATCAAAAGAATTTACGTTTTTTGTCATAATTATGGTCTTGATTTTGTGTAGAAGAAATCATGTTATTCAGTAACAATAAGCGAAAAAATGTTACACGCATTTCTTTTCGTGTGACATATTTTGTAAGACACAGTCTACAAAATCAACACGCATTTTGCGTGTTTGCGTCCGTCAAATTCAATCCCTGTCTAGTGTTGTGTTTTTAGTATTCATGCTGTTATTTGTGTTTTTAGTATTTAGTGTTTAGTGTACGGTTTATTCCAACGAAGGCGCGGTTATTGACCGTAACGGATTAAATGGTTATTGACCGTAACGGATTAAAAGTGGTTGTTTTCGACGCCTTCGTGGGAATCCAGCTTTCAGGGATTAAAATGGATTAAAAATGTAACAATGGAGTTATAGATTGTTATGATAAGAACTTACACTTTCATAATCCCCAATGTGACAAATTAACTAACATTTTAACATATTTGGCATATGACTTTAAGAAATAAAAACAAATTAATTTAATTTCGCCAAAGAAGACACCCTGTCTAAATACTCGACTAAAGTTAATTCCTCTTCTTCGTGTCTACTTTTAAATTCCTAGAGCTGGCTTTGGATTTGGGCATATTTATGTCTCTTCCTTTGTGGTTCCTGTCCTCCGGCATTCTGTACGATTCTAATTTCATTAATACTTTGCTGTTGTTGTAAAAATGCGATCATTTCAAAAACATTCGGGTGAGCTTTAACAACTAGCTTCCTGATCCTTGACCTTGAATGCCATCCTTCCAGAGTGTTTTTGGTTCTATGTTCCCCTGTGTCGTAGTGGTTCCACTGATGAGTAGCATATTCACCCTCGCTCATTGGTTTGTTACATAGTCGGCCAATTCAATTATTTTTGGATCTGATTGAGAGTGAGCGAATATGTGAACACTACTTCAGGCCACGAAATTTCAAATTTTGGCGTAACCAGAAAAATGGTTGTGGGTTTATGCTTTGCGTAACCATTTTCTTTGGTTACACCAGATGACCATTGCGTAACCAATTGGTTACATAAAATGGTTGCGCTGTTTTCATGTTTTATCCAGATTTAAATGGTGCTATTATTCATTTCCACTTGCAGTGAATGTATTTTTTAAAGAAATAACTTGACTATCTTTATTCTTTTATATTTAATATTATATTAGGTTAAGTGTTAATGACTTTAATCCCACGGTGTCCCCATTTAAACAATAAAACATTAGAAAAAAAATGTTCCACTTCACTAAATCCCTACATTTTAATAATGAGGGGAATCGGTTCCAAAAATTACTAATGGATTTTCGTTTTTATATCATATCTGACCTTCAAAAACCAGGAATGGTAGCTACCACATTGTTTTCGGTCACTGAAGACTACATGCGTACTTCATTTTACACTTGTCACTTGCAATCATGCATCCAAGCATGTAGCATGAGATAGCCTCACTCATAGGTATAGCGACTGATTGACAAACATCATTTATTATAAACCTCGGCACTCTATACACAAAGTCTCAAAAGGAAACAGAATAGTTTGATGTCATGAAATAATATTAAAATAGACAGGAGAGTAAAATTGTTTATATATGACGACATACATACAGGTCATTGGTACTACAGCATGGCTATAGTGAAAACTGAAAGGAACACGTGTAGTAAATTCTTTGGAATTATAGCCGACATGTTAAATAGTCAAACTCATTTCACATTTTGTGTTTGAAAATCCAAAGTTACGCTTTCAAAATTTATGGTATATAACTAATCATTTAAAGAATTAGGAGTGAGGGGCATTTGTAAATCAACCTGCTTGCAACTGGTCAATAGCCTATACCTGGTGTCAAAATACGTGATCTGTCAAAGCACCGGTAAGATGGAGAAATGAAATGCCAAGAATGAATGAATGGAGTTTGTGCTATAATACAAATAATTTAGACCCGTGTCACAAAGTCATCCTGTATAAAAATTAATCAAATGTGAATAAATCTGTTAATGAAATTTGTTAACGTAACCGATATTTCAATTTGCGTAACCAGGAAATCGGTCGCGTGTTTCTGAGCTAGCGCGACCACACGTAACCGATTGGTATCGTTCGCGTCAAAGTTCGTGTGGCCTGCTACTTGGATGATTTGATGATATTCATCATTAGTTGTCAATTGGGGATTAAGATTCATATTTAATACTTGGATGATTTGATGATTTTCATCATAAGTTGCCAATTGGTGAATAAAATTCAGAGTGAACATAAATTCATAAAATCTTTAACACCGTTAATTGGGATCTAATAACAACATGCCTCTCTTCAAACGAAAGCCGACAAGTTGATATCTGCGCCTTCGTGGGATTATCGCACTGCCATTGTGAGCTTGACTTATGACCACGTGTACAGATGGAAGACTAGTTAATTCATTTGTGATTTAAAAAAGATACATTACCTGGGAGTGATTTACCGATTTCCAATTGTATAATTACCTGGGACGTGATTTACCGATTTTGCATGTATTTGTCAATGGTGGAATACTAATTTTATAGGATAATGAATAATAAATAATACCACGACCACAGTAAGGTGATAGTCTATGGGTGTGCATTTTTTTTTATATTCACCTTTTTTATTCGTACTTCATATGTAAATAATCGTAATCAAAATGAACTAATCGAATAAACGGCTCGCAGAAATCAAAAGATTCATCTTATAGTTCAATGCCGTAGATAAATTAATCATGTGTTGATTTTTCAACGTATCTCTGGAAAGTAATATGTAAAGGCCGTAGATAAGTAAACTGTGTGTTGATTTTTCAACGTATCTCGGGAAAGTAATATGTAAAGGCCGTAGATAAGTAAACCGTGTGTTGATTTTTCAACGTATCTCGGGAAAGTAATAAGAAAAGGCCTAGATAGGTAAACCGTGTGTTGATTTTTCAACGTATCTCGGGAAAGTGAACGGCTCGTCTAATAAATAAACGGCATAAATAAGTGAACTGGTCGTCCATTTATAAACGCCTCTCGGAGAAACTAAACCTGTTTTGAAAGTAAACTATATGCATACTTTCCAGCGCTAAAAACCCCGTTCTAAACGATACCATTCTTCTAGTGGAAATTTAAACAACATATATCAATTTTAAAACAATCAGATGATAAATGTAGTATGTAGAGTGATCACACGAAATTGTGGATGGCTGATCGACAGGCAAACCGATACATGGACGGGCAGACCAGGGCATCAGCAATATACAACCACATTTCCATGTGGGCATATAAAAACTGCAAACATGTTTCCTTTGCTTTGCTGTCAGGTTGTAGGGGTTATATTATTTACGTCTCCCAAAATCTGTAGTGGGAGTATACAAAAGACAAGTATGGAATCTCTAATAGTAAAAGCATAATGTTAACTTACTTTATAGAGAACTTGCCACCACAAGCTTTTCCAGATTCTGGTTCAATAATTGCCAGACGTAAACAACACAATCTTGGTGGACGAATTTCATAGTGTATACCAATAATACGTACTAATTCTTGCTCCTATAATATAAAATAGGTTGCCAGACAACAAAACATACGCCCACAGCAGCTAAGTCGTCCAGGCAGTCAACAAGTGTTCTCGCATATTTTTTTCATTTGTCGGTAATGAAACATTTATAATACACTAAATCTGACTAAGAGTAACATCTCATTAAGTAATTATCAGAAAATCATTAGAATTTGTTCGGCTTCTAGTTCTGCGCCATGCTAACGTTTAGTATACAAAACATTTAATACCACGATTTAGCTGTTCATTGAAAATCAATATACTTGTTCATCTCCAAGACCTCAAGATTTTTTTGAAGTAATCAAGGGCCATAATTATTGGAAATCGTTGAATATCAATCGCCTTCTTCAACTCATGACCCTAAACACTGTTTATAACTTTAAAGTCAATTAGTTATTACCTTTAGCCTCGAAAGTGTCCCCAAGATATTTCATTGCGATATAGGACCATAACTCCAACAGTAATCAATAGGCTTCTTCGTCTCATGACCTTAAACACTGTGTATAAATTTAAAGTCAATCGGATATTAACTTTAGCCTCTAGCGCGTCCACAGGATTTTTCAAAGTGATCAAGGGCCATAACTCTGGCAGTAATTATCGGAAATCGCTGAAAATCAATTGTCTTCTTCGTCTCATGACCTTAAACAATGTGTATAAATTTAAAGTCAATCAGATATTAACTTTAACCTCTAGAGTGTTCACAAGATTTTTCAAAGTGATCAAGGACCATAACTCCAGTAATTATTGGAAATCGCTGAAAATCAATAGGCTTCTTCATCTCAGGACCGTAAACACTGTGTATCAATTTAAAGTCAATCGGATATTAACTTTAGCCTCTAGAACGCCCACAAGATTTTTCAAAGTGATCAAGGGCCATAACTCTGGCAGTAATTATCGGAAATCGCTGAAAATCAATAGGCTTCTTCGTCTTATGACCTTTAACACTGTGTATAAATTTAAAGTCAAACGGATATTAACTTTGACCTCTAGAGCTTTCACAAGATTTTTTGAAGTGATTAAGGGACATAACTCTGGCAGTAATTATCGAAAATTGTTGAAAATCAATAGGCTACTTCGTCTCATGACCTTAAACACTGTGTATAAATTTAAAGTCAATCGGATATTAACTTTAGCCTATAGAGCCGGACTGACGGACGGACAGGGGCGATAACAATATACTACCACATTTCAATATGGGAGTATAAAAAAGATACCCACGCAAGGTGTAAAAATTCGCCAACACAACAACAATGTCTTGGCAGCAGCTGGGATGTTGACCAAATAAGTAAAATTTGAATTGTCATCATTATCGACTTTTGTGTACAGTAGATCGGGCCTCATTCAACGAGGAGCATTTGCTATTCAGTATCAGAAATAATTATCCGAAAACATGTAAATTCGCACTTCCAAGGGTAATTAATTTAGAAATGATACACTAAACTGCAGGACCAACAATACAAAAATTGCATTAAATGGGTAATAGATAAAATATACACAAGCAATGGTACCATATCTAAAATTATTTATGTAATTAAACCAAAATTGAATATGTAGCCTAAAGAAAGAAATAATTAGTAACGTAAAAAATAATTAAATTACCAGTCCAGTAGTAACTGGCAGTACCACTTTTCTTTTCTTTTAACTTAGCATGATTTTAAAAAATATCCTTGTGACGTGTTCCCCATTCCGATAGTTTTTGTCAATATTGTTTCATGTAAGATAATTGGTGTGCTTATTAGATTCTATAGTATTTCTATATTAGGAATAGAGGGGAGGGGAGGGTGCGTGAAAAATTACTTTTGCATAACAATTAAATATTGGTATCCATTTAATTATGCCCCTCCCCCCCCCCATGGCGATTATCCTCTCAATGTACGGGATATTTTTCTCCCATGATTGCGTAAATCTGCTTTTACATTTATTCGAGAGAGTGTTCCTATCTTGAAATTAAATTTCCAGGTTGTGTTGCATTCAAAGTATTGTATTCGATCGCAATCTTTATTGTTTACATGCAAAGAGTTGCTTCCCTTAGTTTCATAGTTTTGGCGAGAAAATTAAACCAGCGGCTGCCAGGCAGGATACGCCCACATTTTGCAAGAGATGGATAGAGAACAAGCTAAAAACAAACAGGATTTTTTGTACAATCAGGGGCAATAATCCAAAAAATTATAGTCTGAAATGTGCAAATATCAAAAGGGACTGAGATCTTTGGAATATAAAGATATGATATGATTTTTCGTACAATCAGGGGCCATAATTCAGGAAGTTATGGTCATATATGCACGAATATCGAAAGGAAAGGAGATCTTTGGGTTATAAACTTACATTTCAAGTTTCAACAAAATCGGATAACATTTGTGACCTCTATGGGGTCCACAACCTTGATATATCATACTTTTATGCTATTTGAAAACGAGGGGCGGCCTTAGGGTGTAACGGTAATAAACTAAAACGATTTTTTAAATCAGATAAAAATTATGACCTCTATAGGGTCCACAAGCTAAAAACGCGATTTTTCGTACAATCAGGGGCCATAATTCAGGAAGTTATGGTCGATATGCGCGAATATCGAAAGGAACCGAGATATTTCGGTTATAAACTTACATTTCAAGTTTCATCAAAATAGGATTAATATTGTGACCTCTAAAAAGGTGATCTTTCGTACAAACAGGGGCCATAATTCATGAAGTTTCGATCCGATACATGCCAATATCGAAAGCAACCAAGATCTTTTGGAGATAAACCTATATTTCAAGTTTCGTCAAAATCGGATAAGAATTGTGACCTGTAGAGTGTCCACAAACAAATTGTCCGGACGGACAGGGGCGACGACAATATACGTCCACATGAAGATGAAAATGTGGGCGTATAAAAACTGTTTGTTTGAAAATGCGTTAGAAATCTATTACCGCGCAGTAGAGCGGTACGTGAGGCCTTTTCGTGGCACTTTACCGCGTAATGCGGTCGAGTTGACAGGTCTGATGACATTTGAAATTGGGTTGTATAAAAATCCATAAAATAGTCCGACCAGAAATTATGGATGCATCAAAAATTAATGTGGGTGTATGTTTACAACAAACTAAAGAAATAATTCTAGAACATACCCTGAGATTCGGGTTTTTATGCCATGGTTGATTCTTATCTATGTTGATTTCATAAGCACTAGTTCTTTTAACAGCCTTCAAATAGAGTTCATGACCCTGTCGAAAATAAATAACCTCATCCCCCATCTGTGGTACATAAGGTGTTTTACGAGGAACTGTATCTGTCAGCCATTCTGGTGGACGGAACTCTTCAGGTACTTCTTGAATACTTTGATCTATTTGAGGTCGGCGCTTAAAAAAAAAAATAACCCAAGAAAATACACATGCATGAAGAATTTACATCTAAAATATAAGACAGGTTGTCAGTGTAGGATAAAGCATGAGACTGAGGTTATGCTGGGGAAAGAGAGACTGAAGAAAATAACCCGAGAGAAAGAAAAACCGAGGCCGGTAGGCCAAGGGTTTTCTGTTGAGGGTTTTTTCTGAAGTCATTCTTCTCCGGCATAACAAGGTTTTTGATTTATCCACTTGGAAAAAATGTCAGTGGTGTAACGAGCATAAATGTTTATATTTTCACACTTTTAAATAAATAAAAAAAAGATAAAAGCCAAATAAACTGTCATATAAAGATTAGAATGATTTATTTGTCATTATTAAAGAACAGGTTTTTAAACATTTGGATTTGCAAAACAAATCTTCTGAATATGAAACAATATCATGTAAAACTACAAAGAATACTGTTACACCAATGACTTATTTTGTTACACCACTGATTTTTCTTTACATAGATACAAATTAAATGCCTCTTTTACTAATCATCAAAATCAAAAAGGCTTAATAGTAAAGTCTGAACATCAATATTTAAAAAAGTTTAAACAAATATTAACATTTATGAAATGAAAATATTGTGGTAATGTTGTAACACCAATTTGTCAATGGCGTAACATATCTAGCAAACTTTAGCACATAAAATGTTGCAACATTACTTTTATAGTATGTCTCTTTAATAAAAGAATAAAATAAACAATCTGAAAGAAAATACTCTTGATAGATGTATTGCAAACCAATTCAGTTTTGCAAAAAAATTGCCTAAAAGGAAAGTTTTGTCAGTGGTGTAACAAAACCTGTCAATGGTATAACATTTTCTAGTGTTACACCACTGACTGTTACACCACTGGCCCATTCATACTTTTATGAACATTTATAACAATAAATGCTCCCTAAATACTGACCACATGGCATAAAGGATGATGTTTCAATAGTTTAAATTTGCTTAAAATAAAAAATGTTTTAAATTAGTTCATATGAACAAGTAATCAGTGTTACACCACTGACACAATAAAAAGTTATGGTGAATAATAGACTTATCTAATTGCGTGGAACTTCTACAAGAATTCAAATTTGACCTCCTCAAAACTTCAGCCATGAGCAGGAAGTCATCAGCAAAAGGAGCAGTCAGTATTTCATATAATTTTCAAGGGAGATAATCATTTAATGTCATAATTTTAGAGTTCGTTACACCACTGACCGTGAAATTTTGGACAGCCATTAATTGTGTGATTAATATTGGATTTTCATAATTTTTCCTAGTATATCTGTTAGTTATGTGTTTGTTATACTGGTATTTTATTTCAAATGCTAAAAAAATAAAAAAAATGTCTAGGGATTAACATTTTATTGTTCTGCAAAGTCATTTCCGTGTATACTGACGGTGGTTTTTCTCCTGAACTGATGATAAAAAAACCCTATTTTCTCAAAAAATTGTTTACAGGTTTAAAGAAAAAGTTTCAGAAGAATAACACCAAATCTCCCTGTATATATCCAAAACCTCCCCCGACTTTCAGACCGCAAGTTATTCCGGGCATAGAATATACCCCAAAGATCAAAGAGATTTACCGTTACAGGTTTATAATGCAACAGAACATACGCCTACAGCAGCTAAATCCTCTGAGCAGTCAACAAGGCTTGTCTCATATTTATTCTTTTGTGAGTAATGGGAGCATTTACAAGACACTGACTATCTACGAGAACGTAGCTAAAAACGTTGAGATATACTGATGTGTTTGTTTTAGCTACGATTGGATGCCTTTAGTTCCAAGTGGCAAACTCAATTTCTTTATTAATGCATGTAACATCTTTAAAATAAGATAAGTTTATGCTATTATGATTAATTAAACTTACAGAGGCCAATGTAGTGGCACAACTGTCGCCTAACTCCAAATATTCGCGTTTAAATTAATGAAGCGTTGTTTTTGTCTGACATTTCACCGACATCGAAATCCATTCATAGTTACTGTGCTTTAGATTGCCCTTTTGATTGGCTGTTATAAAAGCCTTATATTTAGCCCCGCCTTCATGATGACAGCGTATCGTTTAAAAAGATGGCGGTCTTAGTAACGGCTTGACGCCTTGATTTTAAAAACGACGATTTGTACCCGTTTCAGGTAGGATTATATGCTTAATTGTAGTTGGGTCTGGTAGAAATATTATAAATAATAATAATCAATCGTTGTTTTGATTAAAACTATTGTTAATTTTGTTTAAAAATGCCGGGTGCGAATCGCTACCGCATATGCTACGTTGAAGGCAATGGCCTCATCTCTTATCTCGAAACACGGAGGGTTGAGAGATTAAGGTTTGTTATCTAGACACTGACATGCCTCTTATAACAAATTTATCTGAATTGTTGAAATTCGATAAGCTTCTCTATTTTACCGATTTAAAATATACACATAAATTTCATATTCAAGTGTTCAAGTCAAGTCAAACACATTTCATAACTCCAGAAGTTATAAATTGAAATTATTGAAATTTAATAGGCTACTCCGTTTTGCTAATTTAAATAATGCATTTAAATTTCATACAGATCAGATGATAACTTTTATCATTTGAGCATTCACAAGGTTCTACAAAGTGAAACAAGGGCCATAACTCTAGAAGATATTAATGGAAATTGTTACCAGTGGCTGCCAGGCAGATACTCCCACATTTTGCAAAAGATGGATAGAGAAAACAAGCTAAACAAAAAGAGATTTTTTGTAGAATCAAGGGCCACAATTCTGGAAGTTACAATCCGATATGCGCAAATATCGACAGGAATCAAGATCTTTGAGTTATAAAGATATATTTCAAGTTTCATCAAAATCGGAGCAAAATTGCAACTTCTAGAGGGTCCACACTCTACAACCTTGATATACTATATATTTACACTACTTGTGTTCGAGGGGCTGCCATTTGTCCAGCAGTTTTGGTCCGACCTTCACAAAATTCGAACTCAGCCGTTATAAGGGTGTGGCGATGATATATTCAAACATTATTTTCAATCTCATAAAAATTGTGACCTCTAGAGGAACCACAAGCTAAAAACATGAAGGGCCATAATTCAGGAAGTTACAATGCGATATGTGACAAATACATCAGAAATATTGCAGTTCCCATAGGTCTATACAGAACAAGATCCATGTGTGGTATATTTCAACTGGGGGGGTATCTATTTTTCCTGATTTCCCAGGACCAGAGAGGGGATTATGTTATAGGTGGGGACGTGGGTGTCTTTGATCAGTCTTTATTCATTCATCTACACAACCTTCAGTCCTCCTTCACATCACACAGTTCTCTACTGGAGTACTGCCCTGACTTACGATGCTTCCCCAATCATTTAACCTGACCAGCACACACCTGAACCAAAACACACTCCTCTGTCACTCACAACCAGCAGACTACATGGTTAACAAAACACTCTATAAATTTCAAGTCATTGATCACTTTGGCGTCTAGAGTGTACAAAGGGAATTGTGGAAGACCGACAGTGGTGATAACAAATTAAACTAGAACTGCGATGCAGTAATGACGGGTTTCACTGGTGCCACATTACCCTTAAACATATTTTACTTCCGGTACCAATGAAACCATTAAACAGGTTTCCACATAAGCATTGCACACATCAAATAAAATGGACGGAGAATCAACCAAATCCAGCAATATCAATTCATTTTATACATTTGTTACATGTAAGTGTACAGTACTTTTGGTGATAATGAAAATGTTCAATTAGTTTTATGAAACCAGAAATGGCATAAGGCATCACATGGTGAAAATTTTATGTAAATCGAACAATAATTGCCACTTTTATAGACCAAAAACGTTGAAAACTGACTTGTAAAAATCGTCTATTTCTCTGCAACCGTACAAGTTAGAAACCATTTTTTTGTATCTGTATGATCGTATGGGTTCAATCTATTTGTTGATTGGAATCAAATATCATAATTTTAAAAACAATACAAATCAGACTCTTTTGGATAAAATATCTGTTTTGAAGGCTAAAAATACAGTTTTGGCCAAAATGACGTTACTTCCCCGGTGACAGTAAAAGTGTTAAATTACTTGTATGAAATCGTAAATGGCATTAGGTATCACACACTGGAAATTTTATGAAAATCGAATAATAATTGACACTTTTATGGACCAAAAACCTTGAAAAGTTACTTGTTGAAAATCGTCTATTTCTCCGCAATTGAACAAGTTAGAAACCATTTTGTGATATCTATATGATCGTATGGGTTCATTCTATTATTTCATTGGAATCAAATATCAAAATTCTAAACAAATAACAAATAAGACTCATTTGAATAAATTACTGGTTTTGAAGGTTATAAATAAATTTTTTGCCCAAATTACGTCATTTCCGGTGACATTGAAAATGTTAAATTTTTTTACCTAGTTAAAATTAACATTACGCATCAAATGGTGTCACTTTTATGAAAATCGAATAATAATTGACTCTTTTACAGGCAAACTAGCGTAAAAAGTGACTCATGCAAAATTGCCCATTTCTCGGCAACTGCTCATATTACAAACTAATTTTCACATACATTCTCTTCGTATGGATTATTGCTACTAGTTTATATGAAAGTTGCGAAGAAATATTTTAAAACATGAAAAGCCTGAATGGGTTGTGAATAGCTCATTTTTTCACATTTACATTGAAATGATCTGAAAATGAAATAAAAATTAAAAGATAGGTTGCCAGGCAACGAAACATACGCCCACAGCAGCTAAATCGTCCGGGCAGTCAATAAGATTTGTCACATATTTTTACTTTTTTCGGTAATGAAACATTTATAATACATTAAAATCTGATTAAGAGTAACAACTCATTAAGTAATAATCAGAAAACCATAAGAATTTGTTTGGTTTTTATAAAGTTTTGCCCCATGTTCAAGTCATAAAAATTCATTGAAAATCACTATACTTGTTCGTCTCAAGACCTTAAACTCTGTGTATGAATCTGAAGTCAATCAGATGATAACTTTAGCTTCTAGAGGGTCACAAGATTTTTCAAAGTGATCAAGGGCCATAACTTTGGAAGTAATTATCGGAAATCGTTGAAAATCAATATGATTCTTCGTCTCATGACCTCAAACACTCTGTATCAATTTAAAGTCAATCGGATATTAATTTTAGCCTCTAGAGCATTTACAAGATTTTTTGAAGTGATCAAGGGCCATAACATTGGCAGTAATTATTGAAAATAGCTGAAAATAAATAGGCTTCTTCGTCTCATGACCTTAAACTCTGTGTATAAATTTAAAGGCAATCGGATATTAACTTTGACCTCTAGAGCGTCCACAAGATTTTTTGAAGTGATCAAGGGCCATAAATCTGGAAGTAGTTATCGGAAATCGCTGAAAATCAATAGGATTCTTCGTCTCATTACCTTAAACACTGTGTATAAATTAAAAGTCAATCGGATATTAACTTTGACCTCTAGAGCGTCCACAAGATTTTCTGAAGCGATCAAGGCAGTAATTATCGGAAATCGCTGAAAATCAATAGGCTTCTTCGTCTCATAACCTTAAACACTCTGTATAAATTTAAAATCAATCGGATATTAACTTTGACCTCAAGAGCGTCCACAAGATTTTTTGAAGTGATCAAGGGCCATAACTCTGGAAGTAATTATTGGAAAATGCTGAAAATCAATAGGCTTCTTCGTCTCATGACCTTAAACACTGTGTATAAATTTAAAGTCAATCGGATATTAACTTTGACCTCTAGAGCGTCCACGAGATTTTTTGAAGCAATCAAGGACATAACTCTGGCAGTAATTATCGGAAATCGCTGAAAATCAATAGGCTTTTTCGTCCCATGACCTTAAACACTGTGTATAAATTTAAAGTCAATCGGATATTAACTTTGACCTCTAGAGCGTCCACAAGATTTTTTAAAGCGATCAAGGGCCATAACTCTGGCAGTAATTATCGGAAATCGCTGAAAATCAATAGGCTTCTTCTTCCCATGACCTTAAACACTGTGTAGAAATTTAAAGTTAATCAAATATTAACTTTGACCTCTAGAGCTTCCACAAGATTTTTTGAAGTGATCAAGGGCCATAACTCCGACAGTAATTATCGAAAATCACTGAAAATCAATAGGCTTCTTCGTCTCATGACCTTAAACACTGTGTATAAATTTAAAGTCAATCGTATATTAACTTTAGCCCCCAGAGCGTCCACAAACAATTGTGGACGCCAGCCGGCCGGACGGGGGCGACGACAATATACGACCACATTTCAATGTGGGCGTATAAAAAACTGAGCACGATGATTTCTGCGCCTTAACAGGGCACACCTTTTCAGTCATACCAGATTTGAAAAAAATAATATTTGCTTTCAAAAAGTGGTACCGAACTGTCAAAATTGCAGTTTTTGCTAAATTTATGTCACTTCCGTTGCCGAAAGGAAAATGTACCGGTAACAAAATAAATGACATTTTGGACCACACAGCATATGAACTTTGTTTTATACAAATTGAATAATAAATAATTAATCCAGGACTGAAAAACTGAATCAGCCAATGGGGGCTAAGGAAAAATACGGTGACAAAAAATGTTGCCATTTTTGGTCAAATCAGATGACTTTTTAACCCTTGGCAAAATACCACATAAAAATAATCATTAATAAAAAAGTTTTTCGTAAAAATTTAAATTATCAAAATTTGGCGCCCAATATGTCCGAAGATTCCTCGAAAATAAACCAGTGGCTGCCATTTTTGGTCAAATCAGATGACTCTTTAACCCTTGGCAAAATACCACATAAAAATATTCATTAATAAAAAAGTTTTTCGTAAAAATTTAAATTATCAAAATTTGGCGCCTAATATGTCAGAAGATTCCTCGAAAATAAACCAGCGGCTGCCATTTTTGGTCAAATCAGATGACTCTTTAACCCTTGGCAAAATACCACATAAAAATATTCATTAATAAAAAAGTTTTTCGTAAAAATTTAAATGATCAAAATTTGGCGCCTAATATGTCCGAAGATTCCTCGAAAATAAACCAGCGGCTGCCATTTTTGGTCAAATCAGATGACTCTTTAACCCTTGGCAAAATACCACATAAAAATATTCATTAATAAAAAAGTTTTTCGTAAAAATTTAAATTATCAAAATTTGGCGCCTAATATGTCCGAAGATTCCTCGAAAATAAACCAGCGGCTGCCAGGCAGGATACGATGCCCACATTTTCGAGAGATGGATAGAGAACAAGCTAAAAAGGAAGTGATTTTCCCTACAATCAAGGGCCATAATTCAGAAAATTACAATTCGATATGCGCAAATATCGAAAGGAACCAAGATCTTTGGGTTATAAACTTAAATTTCAAGTTTCAACAAAATCGGATAAAAATTATGACCTCTATAGGGTCCACAACCTTGATATATCATATTTTTACGCTATTTGAGAACGAAGGGCGGCCATTTTGTCTGTCAGTTTTGGGCCGATTTTCACGAAAGTCAAACTCAGTCGTCCTTAGGGTATAACGGTGATATAATAATACGTTTTTTTAAATCGGATAAAAATTATGACCTCTATAGGGCCCACAAGCTAAAAACGCGGTTTTTCGTACAATCAGGGGCCACAACTCAGGAAGTTACATTCCGATATACGCGAATATCGAAAGGAACCGAGATCTTTGGGTTATAAACTTACATTTCAAGTTTCAACAAAATCGGATAAAAATTGTGACCTCTATAGGGTCCACAACCTTTATATACCATATTTTTACACTATCTGGGAACAAAGGGCAGCCATTTTGTCTGTCAGTTTTGGGCCGATTTTCACGAAATTCAAACTCAACCATCCTTAGGGTGTAACGGTGATATAATAATACAGTTTTTTAAATCGGATAAAAATTATGACCTCTATAAGGCCCACAAGCTAAAAACGCGATTTTTCGTACAATCAGGGGCCATAATTCAGGAAGTTACGGTCCAATATACGCGAATATTGAAAGAAACCAAGATCTTTGGGTTAGAAACTTACATTTCAAGGTTCAACAAAATCGGATAAAAATTGTGACCTCTATAGCGTCCACAACCTTGATATACCATATTTTTACTCTATTTGAGAACGAAGGTCGGCCATTTTGTCTGTCAGTTTTGGGCCGATTTTCATGAAATTCGAACTCAGCCCTCCTTAGGGTGTAAAGGTGGTATAATAATACGTTTTTTAAAATCAGATAAAAATTATGACCTCTATAGGGTCCACAAGCTAAAAACATGACTTTTCGTACAATCAGGGGCCATAATTCAGGAAGTTACGTTCTGATATGCGCGAATATCGAAAGGAACCAAGATCTTTGGGTTATAAGCATACATTTCAAGTTTGAACCAAATCGGATAAAAATTGTGACCTCTACAGTGTTCACAAGCTAAAAACGTGATTTTTCGTACAATCAGGGGCCATAATCCATGTAGTTACAGTCCGATACATGCCAATATCGAAAGGAACCGAGATCTTAGGGTGATAAACCTATATTTCAAGATTCGGATAAAAATTGTGACCTGTAGACTGTTCACAAACAATTACGGACGGACGGGGGCGACGACAATATACGTCCACATGAAAATGTGGGCGTATAAAAATCTAAAGAACTGTAGCTATGTGCCTTGTCTCCGGCTATGTCAAAATGTATCAAATATTACAATCCGACAATTATTGATAACATTACGGCAAAATTTCGAAAAACGACAACTTTGGTGATTTCGGACATTTCGCTTTGTCGCAGAACGTTAGGAATAGCTTTAAAATCTAAGTCAAACCCACTTTCCCATTAAAACCGAAGACATCGAATCGATCCGACAAGTAGTTTCTAAGATATGCTCAAATGGAAAAATAATAATAATAAGAAGAAGAAGAAGAATAATCCGAACAAAAACAATAGTGTTTCACACAAGCTACGCAGTGTGAAACCCTAAATAGTAATATATAATAATAATAATAGTCTATTTATATTGCGCAATATCCATGCATGAGCATGCACAAAGCGCAGTTCCAAAATTATCAAAACTGTCAAAGTGAATGCTTTCTTAAACAACCAGCGACTGCCAGGCCACATGTTGCAAGAGATGGATAGAGAACGAGTTAAAAAAAACCAACAGGATTTTTTGTACAATCAGTGGCAATAATCCAGAAAGTAATGGTCTGAATTGCGCAAATATCAAAAGGGACTGAGATCTTTGGGATATAAAGATACATGTATGTTTTAAGTTTCATCAGAATCTGATAAAAATTGTGACCTCTAGAGGGTTCACAACCTTCGTATTGCATACTTTTCCACAATTTTACATACAAAGAGCGGGCATTTTGTCGGGCAGTTTCATTTCAATTTTCTTGAAATTCGAATTCAACCTTCATTATGGTGGAATGATGAAATATTTAAACGGTTTTTAAAATTGTGACCTCTAGAGAATCCGCAAGCTAAAATGGGATTTTTCAAACAATCAGGAGCCTTAATCCAGGAACCAAGATCTTAGTGTGTAATGGTGATATATTCACATGTCTTTTTAAATTGGATAAATATTGTGACCTCTACTTGGACGACAAGCTAAAAACGTGATTTTTCGAACAATCAGGAGCCATAATCCAGGAAATTATGTTCGGATATACACGATTGGCAAAAGGAACCAAGATCTTAGTGTGCAATGGCGATATATTCACATGTTTTTTTAAATCAGATAATGTATCTTTAAGGTCCTTGCAGGAGTATAGGATTGTAAGAGATCACCCAGGTATTTTGGGTAGTACCATTTAAACATAGATATGTATAACACAGAATTGATAAATTTGATTCTGTAAGTAACAGGAATGAAATGGAGTTCTGTCTGTTTAATTCAATCTTATTACTGTACTAAATAACTATTATAACACAAATCAATCGACTTACTGTTGCTTGTCGTCGTTTCTTTGGAGGAGGTTTCTTCTTCTTAGGTTTACATTCACGGGGACCACCGCTCCTACTGTTATCGTCATCATCAATATCATCTTCTGATGAAGTTACTCTTTTCCTCTTGCGTGTTCTTGTTGACACACGTTTAGGAGGTTGTAGGTTTGTTTCTCTATCACCCATCCAATCAGAATATACACTTGAATCACTAAAAAGTATGATATTAATTAAAGATAGGTTGCCAGGCAACAAAACATATGCCCACAGCAGCTAAATCATCCGAGTGGTTTACAAGGGTTGACGTATGTTTATTCTTTTGGAGGTAATTGGGGGCATTTACAAGACAATATCATACAGATCAGATTATAATTTTTGTCGTTTGAGGGTTCACAAGGTTCTACAAACTAAAACAAGTGCCTTAACTCGGGAAGAAATTTACAGAAAATATTGAAATTTAACAGGCTTTTTCGTTTTAGTAATTTAAATAATGCATATAAATTTCATTCAGGTCGGATGATAACTTTTGTCATTAGAACGTTCACAAGGTTCACAAAGTAAGACATGGGCCATAACTCTAGACATAATTGACGGAAATTGCTGAAATAAAATAGACCTCCATTTCACAAATGAAATGATGCATATAAATTTCATACATATTGGTTGATAACTTTCATCAATCGAGCATTAACAAGATTGAACAACGTGAAACAAGGGTCATAACTGTAAAAGTAATTATTGTAAATTGCTGAAATTCAATAGGCTTTGTGGTTTCACTAATCTAAATGATGCATATACATTTCATACAAATTGAAACAAGGGCCATAACTCTAGAATAATAAATGTAAATTGCTGAAATTTGATAGGATTCTTCTTTTTACTAATTTAAATGACGCATATAAATTTCATACAGATCGGCAGATAACTTTTGATGTTAGAGTGTTCACAAGGTGCAACAAAGTCAAACAAGGGCCATAACTCTAGAATTAATAAACGGAAATTGCTGAAATTCAATAGGATTCTTCTTTTTACTAATTTAAATGACACATAAATTTCATACATATCAGCAGATAACTTTAGATATTATAGTGTTGACAAGGTGCAACAAGGGCCTTAACTCTAGAAGTAAAAAAACGGAAATTGCTAAAATTGAATAGGATTCTTCTTATTACTAATTTAAATGACACATATAAATTTCATACATATAGGCAGATAACTTTTGATGTTATAGCTTTCACAAGATTCAATAAAGTGAAATAAGGGCCATAACTTTAGAAGTAATTAAGGGAAATTGCTGAAAATCACAGGGCTTCAGAGTTTCACTAATTCAAATAACACATATAAATTTCACAAAGATCGGATGATAACTTTTGGCGAAAGAGTGTTCACAAAGTTCAATAAAGTGAAACAGGGGCCATAACTCTAGATGTAATAAAAGGAAATTGCTGAAATTCAATAGGCTTCTTTGTTTCACTAACTTAAATAATGCATATAAATTTCACATAGATCGGATGATAACTTTTGGCATCAGAGCGTTCACAAGGTCCAACAATGTGAAACAAGCGCCAAAACTCTAGACATAATAAACGAAAACTATTGAAATTAAATAGGCTTCTTCATCTCATTTTAATCACTGTAACTTTAATATAGACCTGTTAAACATTGTCTTAATTTAACTTTTTCTTATGTCTTTAATTTGAGATTTGAACATAATGTTGAAATATTTGCAGATTAGATATATATGGAAATGACTGTATTAGACCTACCTTTCATTACCACTGGCCCATAAATCAGAATCCATCTGTTCTTCCTGTAACAATTATAAATATAGTATTTTAATGTTAAAATTCAGTTTGATGGACTGTCCCTTCCTCTAACAATTATAATATAGGCCATCCACAAAAACAAATAGTCTGGTTCTAAGAATATTCTTGAAATAACCAGCAGCTGCCAGGCAGGATACGCCCACATTTTCGAGAGATGGATAGAGAACAAGCTAAAACGAAAGTGATTTTTCCTACAATCAAGGGCCACAATCCAGGAAATTACAATTCCATATGCGCAAATATCGAAAGCAACCGAGATCTTTGGGTTATAAACTTACATTTCGAAATTCAAACTCGGCCGTCCTTAGGGTGTAACGGTGATATAATAATACGTTTTTTTAAATCGGATAAAAATTATGACCTCTATAGAGTCCACAAGCTAAAAACGCAATTTTTCGTACAATCGGGCCATAATTCAGGAAGTTACGATCCGATATGCGCGAATATTGAAGATCTTTGTGTTATAAACTTACATTTCAAGTTTCAACAAAATCGGATAAAAATTGTGACCTCTATAGGGTCCACAACCTTGATATACCATTCTTTTTACGCTATTTGAGAACGAAGGGCGGCCATTTTGTGGGTCAGTTTTGGGCCGATTTTCACGAAATTCGAACTCAGCCCTCCTTAGGGTGTAACGGTGATATAATAATACGTTTTTTGAAATTGGAAAAAAATTATGACCTCTTTAGGGTCCACAAGCTAAAAACACAATTTTTCTTACAATCAGGGGCCATAATTCAGGAAGTTACGGTCTGATATGCGCGAATATCGAAAGGAACCGAGATCTTTGGGTTATAAACTTACATTTCAAGTTTCAACAAAATCAGATTAAAATTGTGACCTCTATAGGGTCCACAACCTTGATATACCATTCTTTTTACGCTATTTGAGAACTAAGGGCGGCCATTTTGTGGGTCAGTTTTGGGCCGATTTTCACGAAATTCGAACTCAGCCCTCCTTAGGGTGTAACGGTGATATAATAATACGTTTTTTGAAATCGGAAAAAAATTATGACCTCTTTAGGGTCCACAAGCTAAAAACACAATTTTTCTTACAATCAGGGGCCATAATTCAGGAAGTTACGGTCTGATATGCGCGAATATCGAAAGGAACCGAGATCGTTGGGTTATAAACTTACATTTCAAGTTTCAACAAAATCAGATTAAAATTGTGACCTCTATAGGGTCCATAACCTTGACATACCATATTTTTACGCTATTTGAGAACGAAGACCGGCCATTTTGTCTGTCAGTTTTGGGCCGATTTTCACGAAATTCGAAGTCAGTCGTCCTTAGGGTGTAACGGTGATATAATAATACGGCTTTTTAAATCAGATAAAAAAAGGGACCTCTATAGGGTCCACAAGCTAAAAATGCGATTTTTCGTACAATCAGGGGCCATAATTCAGGAAGTTACGTTCCGATATGCACGAATATCGACAGGAACCGAGATCTTTGGGTTATAAGCATACATTTCAAGTTTAAACCAAATCGGATAAAAATTGTGACCTCTACAGTGTTCACAAGCTAAAAATGTGATTTTTCGTACAATCAGGGGCCATAATCCATGAATTTACAGTCCGATAATGCCAATATCGAAAGGAACCGAGATCTTAGGGTGATAAACCTATATTTCATTTCAAGTTTCATTGGAATCGGATAAAATTTGTGACCTGTAGACTGTTCACAAACAATTGTGGACGGATGGACAGGGGTGATGACAATATACGTCCACATGAAAATGTGGGCATATAAAAATTCTGAGGATCGTGTGGCTCCCATCACCATAGAGTATAAGTTCAGTCATTTCCTTCCGATCACCAGATGTAATAGTTTACTGGATAATTATCATCCCCGAAATAAAGAGACAGGTTGTGAATAATGCACATAAACTTCATACAGAATAGATTATAGCCTTTGTCATGAAAGTGTTCACAAGATTCTTCAAAGGGCCATAACTCTTGAAGTGGCTGAAATTCAATAGGATTTCTTGTCTCACTAATGTTAACATATATACATCTTAAGAAGATCGGATAATAAATGTAGTCTGTAGAGTGTTCACAAGAAATTGTTTAAGAGAAAGACAATTGTTGGGACAATCAGGGGACATTTTCTGAGCACTCAGATCTTTGGGATATAAACATACATTTTAAGGTTCACCAAAATTGGAAAAAAATTGTACCCTCTAGTGGGTCCACAACCTTGGTATTACATACTTTTACATTTGCATACAAGGAGTGGCCGTTTTTTTGGCAGTTTAAATTCGGTCTGATTTTCACGAAATCAATGGTCACTTTAGTTTAACAGTAAATTCAAATTCAACCGTCATTATGGTGTACAGATGATATATTTGAACGTTTTTTAAAATTGGATAATTATTGAGACCTTTCGAAGGTCCTCGAGCTAAAAATTTGATTTTTCGTACAATCAGGAGCCATAATCCGGGAAGTTATGGACCGATATGCACGAATATTGAAAGGAACAGAGATCTTTGGGACATAAAAATTGTAACCTCTAGACCTAGAGGGTCCACATCCTAGGTATTACATACTGTTACACTATTTGCTTACTGTGTCATTATGGTGTAAAGGTGATTTATTTCAATGTTACTTTTAAATCGGATAAAAATTGTGATCTCTGGAGGGACCAAAAGCTAAAAATAAAGATAGGTTGCCAAGCAACAAAACATACGCCCACAGCAGCTATATCGTCCGAGCAGTCGACAAGGGTTGTGACATATTTATTCTTTTGTAGGTAATTAGGGGAATTTAATAGACAATTTCATACAGATGACATTATAATTTTCGTCGTTTGAGGGTTCACAAGGTTCTAAAAATTAAAACAAGGGTCGTAACTCTGGAAGTAATCTACAGAAATTGTTGAAATCAGACAGGTTTTTTTCGTTTTACTAATTCAAATAATGCATATAAATTTCATACAGATCGGATGATAATTTTTGTCGTTCGAACGTTCACAATGTTCAGCAAAGTTAAACAAGGGCCATAACTCTAGATGTAATTAACGGAAATTTGCTGAAACTCAATAGGCTTGGTCATTTTACTAATTTAAATGATACATATAAATTTCATACAGATAGGAAAATAACTTTTGTCGTTAGAGCATTTACATGGTCCCGGAGAAAACCCACAAGGTTGGACAGGTGACCCTACTCCTTGTCACGTACAACCAAGGAATCGAAACCACGCCAGTTGACTCAATGACAGACTTTATGGTACAGCGCACACGTGCTAACCTATCAGTCATCCAATCCCCCACAACAAAGTGAAACAAGGGCCATAACTCACAGCGTAATTAACAGAAATTGCTGAAATTCAATAGGCTTCTTCATTTCACTAATTTAAATGATGCATATCAATTTCAAACAGATCGGATGATAACTGTTGTCATTAGAGCGTTTACAAGATTCAACAAAGTGAAACAAGGGCCATAACTCTAGATGTAATTAACGGAAATTGCTGAAATTCAATAGGCTTCTTTGTTTTATTAATTTAAATGATGCATATAAATTTCATACAGATCGGTTGATAACTGTTGTCGTTAGAGCGTTCACAAGGTGCAACAAAGTGAAATTAACAGAAGTTAATGAAATTAAATAGGATTCTTCATCTCACTAATGCAAACAACATATATCAATTTCCAAACAATCAGATGATAAATGTAGTCTGTAGAGTGTTCACAAGAAATTGTGGACGAACGGATGTATGTACCGACGGACGGACGGATGGATGTACCGACGGACGGGGGTGACGGCAATCTACAACCACATTTCCATGTGGGCGTATCAATAATCAACATTTTGCAAAGTAAATTCATGTTTTTTATTCGTAGTAGGGTATTGTGAATTCACGTGTCTATACCACTTGTCAGCATGGGGTAGTTGGCAGCTACACTAGGTCTGCCCCGAGTCTGAAATTTGGGGTATAGGGGTAGCTCAGACCGGGGAGTAACATAGGCCAGGTGGCGTTAGTCTACCACTTCCGGTTTCGGAGTTGTGACCCCCGAGCGAAGCCGGTCTGTTCGGGGTTGGCGGCTACACTAGGTCTGCCCTGAGTCTGAAATTTGGGGTATAGGTGTAGCTCGGACCAGGGAGTAACATAGGCCAGGTGGTGTTAGTCCACCACTTCCTGTTATGACCCCCAAGCGAAGCCGGGTATCCTACCCCGAGTCTGAAATTTGGGGTATAGGGGTAGCTCGGACCGGGGAGTAACATAGGCCAGGTGACATTAGTCTACCACTTCCGGTTTCAGAGTTATGACCCCTGAGCGAAGCCGGTCTGTTCGGGGTTGCCGGCTACACTAGGTCTGCCCTGAGTCTGAAATTTGGGGTATAGGGGTAGCTCGGACCGGGGAGTAACATAGGCCAGTTGGCGTTAGTCTACCACTTCCGGTTTCGGAGTTATGACCCCCGAGCGAAGCCGGGTATCCTGCTAGTATGAAATATTAGTAAGGCTCATGATACTTATATTTATTAATTAAATATTCCCTTTTGGCTACTTAAATAATCAAAATAGCTGAATTGGCCGTAGAAAAACCATTCCAGTGGCTGACACGTAATTACCATATGCTCTATTGAAAACACACTGACCTGGGGCCGTATTTATAAAAATTCTTCGAGTTTTCATAAATTTTACTCTAAGACTTCCTAAAACAACATTTAGTTAAAAGTTACTCTTTAGAAATATTTATATACTCTTTAGAAATATTTATAAAGGGTCTTAGAGTTACTTTTAACTAAATGTAAGACTTGGGTCCTAACCAAACTCTTAGCGATGTAACCATGGGAAATCCGGGGATTCCCTGAAGTTATTTATAGCTCAGTGTTGATGTCATGCAATCACTCTACTCACTGTAGGTTGACCGACGCCGAAATCGTCACCACTACACAGTTCAGTTGCATTTTACCAGTAGCTAGGAAACGAAGCGTAATGGCGATCTTCATCTCAGCGTCGATTGAGAAATTTCGTTTAGTAGGACTCGTAAGTAGATGCCGAACTAAATCTGTCACAAAAAGAATCCCACCCATGTCCATTCGATATCTCCTTATCAACTCGTCATTGTTGTACTCCACTAAGAAATCTCTTCTTGTTTTAAACTCTCTTAGGCGGCGTACACGGACGGCCATGTTAACCAAGATAAGAGTACTTTTAACAAGTTAGGAGTGCTACAGGAGGACTCCTAAATATGTGTCATATAATAATAATGGGTCAGATCTAGTTACGTAATTTTCCATAGCCCTCGGTCCCGATTGGCATATACGGCCGACGTGGGTCCACAACCTTGATATACCATATATTTACACTATTAGCGAACGAGGGTTGGCCATTTTTGGCCTGCAGTTTTGGTCCGATTTTCACGAATTTCAAACTCAACTATCATTACGATGGAACGGTGATATATTCAAACGCTTTTTTTAAATCCGATAAAAACTGTTATCTCTGGAGGAACCACAAGGTAAACCAGCGGCTGCCAGGCAGAATACGCCCACATTTTCGAGAGATGGATAGAGAACAAGTTAAAAAAAAAGTGATTTTCCGTACAATCAGGGGCCATAATTCAGGAAGTTACGGTCCGATATGCGCGAATATCGAAAGGAACTGAGATCTTTGGGTTATAAACTCACATTTCAAGTTTCAACAAAATCGGATAAAAATTGCGACCTCTATAGGGTCCACAAGGTAAAAACGTGATTTTTCGTACAATCAGGGGCCATAATTCAGGAAGTTAGGGTCCGATATGCGTGAATATCCAAAGGAACCGAGATCTTTGGGTTATAAACTTACATTTCAAGTTTCAACAAAATCGGATAAAAATTGTGACTTCTATAGGGTCCACAACCTTGATATACCATATTTTTACGCTATTTGAGAACGAACGGCGGCCAGTTTGTCTGTCAGTTTTGGGCCGGTTTTCACGAAATTCGAACTTAGCCGTCCTTAGGGTGTAACGGTGATATAATTGTACGTTTTTTTAAATCGGATAAAAATTATGACCTCTATAGGGTCCACAAGCTAAAAACACGATTTTTCGTACAATCAGGGGCCATAATTCAGGAAGTTATGGTCCGATATGCTCGAATATCGACAGGAACCAAGATCTTTGGGTTATAAACTTACATTTCAAGTTTCAACAAAATTGGATACAAATTGCGACCTCTATAGGGTTCATAACCTTGATATACAATATTTTTACGCTATTTGAGAACGAACGGCGGCCATTTTATGTCAGTTTTGGGCCGATTTTCACGAAATTCGAACTCAGCTTTCCTTATGGTGTAACGGTGATATAATAATACGTTTTTTTAAATCGGATAAAAATTTTGACCTCTATAGGGTCCACAAGCTAAAAATGCGATTTTTCGTACAATCAGGGGCCATAATTCACAGATGAAAATGTGGGCGTATAAAAAGATCTTTGGGTTATAAACATGCATTTCAAGTTTCATCAAAATCAATTGTTGTTTAAGTAGCATTTAGTAACTGGATGAGAATAACACATGACACAATTATATGGAATACAAGTTACTTAAAGAGTTTATTACAGCGACCTTTCGACGGGGGTTTTCCCGTCTTTGTCAAGCAAAGAATGACCATCATAGTGCAATGAGGATATATATACAAAATATGGAACAAAGACAAACATCTATATACAATCAGAGATAATCATTTTGAAACCATCAAAGGGGGTGGGAAGCCATAAGGGTGGGTATAGTGAACTATGTCTAAAGAAAACATGATAATAAAGACAGCTCGATTTTTCGGTGACTATGCTTTCACAGAACGAACCCACTAAAGGACCATATAGAGAAGCCATATTGTGAAATAATTTTCAAAATCAGATGAAAATTGTGACCTCCAGAGTGACCACAAGCTAAAACGTGATTATCCGTACAATCAGGGGCCACAATCCATGAAGTTTCGATCCGATACATGCCAATATCGAAACGAAACAAGATCTTTTGGAGATAAACCTACATTTCAAGTTTCGTCAAAATCAGATAAGAATTGTGACCTGTAGAGTGTCCACAAACAAATTGTGGATGGATGTACGGATGTTCAGACGACAATATACATCCACAAGAAAATGTGGGCGTATAAAAAGAACTGTAACACTAACCTCATCCTCTGTATCATATAAAGCTCTGGCTGTTAATCTATTAGTAGTTATTTCTTCATTGTCTGCTGCTTGATTTCCATTACTAGATTTTTTACCTCCCTTCCTACGATTTTCAAGATGTAATGCATAATCATGCTGTAAGAGAATCATAAACCAATGTTACCAATATTGATTTAAAAATATTGCAATGGTCTTTTTCAGGTTCCCAAATGGTTGCCATGCAAAATAGATGGACAGAGAAAAAAGTAGAAAAAAACTCAAGCCAAAAGTGAGGCTGATGTCCCCCGCCGAAATCCCAAAATAAATAGATGACACATATGAGTTAATCGCACATTTATTTTTTTTTCAGAAGTATCAAGCAATCAAACTATACACTAAGTGTCATTACTATCTATCAGATAGAATCAAAGTTCTCTTGTCCCAAGGCATCGACCAATAAAATTGCTTAGCTTTAGCTCGAAGTGTTAATCATTGAACTCAGTCAAGACATTCACACAATGAACATCTACATCTACAAGTTTAAACATTCTACCACACTTAAAAGCAGAGTTGTTATGTTCTAAAGTCTTGATCAATCAAATTGCTTATCGCTCCTTAAACTAAGCACAAAATTCTCACTATCGAACTTAGTCAAGTTCGAATCTATATTCAGAGTTTCTTCGCTCTCACTTCATTATAACCAAAGTTATCGTGCCCCTAAAGCATCAACTGATCAGATTGCTAAGCAGACAATGTTTATCATCAAGGCATTCACCTAATGAACGCCTACACTAAGTTTGAACATTCCAGGCGACGATCCAGGGGGGAAGGGTTGCACCCGGAGCATGCCCGCCCACCCACCATCTTTTGCGGTGGTGTACAATTTTTTCACCCCATATATTCTCGCGGGAAAGAAATTAACAGTCAGTTTAGCATGGAAATCGTAATTTACTCCGAAACAGGTCGGTTGGTGACTTGGTTGATTGCCCATCAGTCCGCCCACCGAGGGCCGGGCTTCACAATCCCAAGTGTTGGCACGCCCCCCCCCCTTTCTGAAAATCCTGGATCCGCCTCTGCATTCTACCTCAATTAGAAGGAGAGTTATTGTGTTTCAAAGTCTTGAACCATCAAATTGTTTATCGCTCTGCTTACAATCAGCAGGAAATGTTCATGAAGTTAGTCAAGGTATTAATTAATAAAACTATACACCAAATGTCCTCACTCTTACTTAATTAGAACTAAGTTTTTGTGTCCCAAAGCATCAACCAATCAAATTGCTTATCTCTGCTTACCCTAAGCAGAAAATTTTCATCTTCTAACTCCATCAAGGCATTGATCTAATAAACACCTACACCAAGTGTGAACATTCTAACTAAATTAGATTGAGAGTTGTTGTGTTCCAAAGTCTCCACCAATCAAATTGCTTATTGCTCTGCTTACCCTAAACAGAAAATGCTCATTATCGAACTGAGTCAAGATATTGATGTAATGAAACTATACACCAAGTTTCATCACTCTCACTTAATTAGAACTAAAGTTATCGTGTCCCAAAGAATCAACCAATCAAATTGCTTATCTCTGCTTACCCTAAGCAGAAAATGCTCATCTTCGACTCCGTCAAGGTATTTGCCTAATAAACACCTACACCAAGTTTGAACATTCTACCTCAATTCGCAGTAGAGTTGTTGTGTTCCAAAGTCTCGGCCAATCAAATTGCTTATCGCTCTGCTTACCCTGAGCAGAAAATGCTCATTATCGAACTTCGTCAAGGTTATGATGTAATGAAACTATACACCAAGTTTCATCACTCTCACTTAATTAGAACTAAAGTTATCGTGTCCCAAAGCATCAACCAATCAAATTGCTTATCTCTGCTTACCCTAAGCAGAAAATGCTCATCTTCGAACTCCATCAAGGCATTGATCTAATAAAAACCTACACCAAGTTTGAACATTCTAGCTCAATTAGAAAGAGAGTTATTGTGTCCCAAACAGTGTGACGGCCTGATGGACAGACGGACGAACCCATTTTAATAAGCAAAATGTGCAGTAAACCATAATTTCGACCCTCATCTAAGCTATCCAGAAATGTATTTAATTTTGGAAACATGAAGATATATTTTAAGTCTCAACAAAATCGGATAAAAATCTTGACTACTAATAGTCCACTACCTTTGTATTACATACTTTCACACTTTTGGCCCAGTTTTCACGAAATTCGAAGTCACCAATCATTTGGGTGTAACGGTGATATATGCAAACATTTTTTTAAATCCTATAAAAATTGTGACCTCTAGAGGGACCACAATCAAGGGTCATAATTCAGGAAGTTACAATCCAATATGGGTTATAAACATGTATTTCAAGATTCATCAAAATCGGATCAAAAATGTGGCCTCTAGAGGGTCCACAACCTTGATATACCATATGGTTCATTCCATGTCAAGTGGACTAAACTTCCCTTTGCAAGAATTAAAAATTGGCTAGTACTAGGCATCATTAATAAATTTCCGACCAATACAGAGCACCAGTCTATAATTACCGCTTTGCATGACGACAGCGTGACGTTAGATGACAACGGTATTTGAAGTAGGCTGGTCAGACTGAAGACAAAGACTAGAAAGCTGGGTAAACATATAAAAAATTGTAATAAATCTTTAAAATTATATGACGATTATCTCGACAGCCTCTTTTCCCCCGGGATAGTGGAGATAGTGGACAAGACACCATCGGCAGATACCAGCACAATACATTTAATAAATAGAGGGACGCAGACATCTGTCGATGCTGTTAAATAGGAAAAATAAGAATTTATTAAGAAGGGTCAACAGGTATACATAAACAATTTTGCGTTTAAAATACCGACTAAGGAAGACCTCAAAAGAATTGATTAGCGCGAAGGCTAATAATAAAGTTTTGACAAATAAAAAAACTGGTTGTAAGTCCCAACCTCGTGAGGAAGAAGTCATTTTGTATGATGTCGAAAATCAAAGATACACTTCAGAATGCCATAATTTGGTCAGAAAGTACATTGCAAAAAGTTTAGTTGAGTATCGAATTGACTTTAATCCTTCGTGTTCGAGTTCTGCCATGCCTCACAACAAATTACCAGAAACCGTGTTCAGTCATCTCGATCGCGCCCTCGTCTAATATTTTTGGCAACGAAGCGTCTATTTTATATAAAATGAATAAATCTGATGAATGGCTAAAAAATCTTTCACCTGATAAACGTAATTTGGTCTTAATGGATGCTGAAACGATAACTAAAAATCAACTTTCTAAATTTAGGCAAAGACCGGAAGAAATCGAAAGAAAAAAGCTAGCGGTTCTTTTTGCGAAAAAGAATGAATTAATAGAAAAGGGGAAACGTGAGATTAAGAAAAAAGAGCGCCTAACAACAGAAATTGTTGGGTTGGGTCTATGGAAAAGTAAATAGGGTATGGAAAATGGGCTTTTACAACTAACAGATAGGGAAATTAAAGATGCACTGAAGGCACAGCTGGGGTTTTCATAGGTATGTTTTAAATCAGTAACTTTCCAATAAGTCTATATTTTATTTTACTGTCGCCGGTAAGGATCCCTCGATTCCAGTTTTAAAAGAAAATTTACAAAAATTAATTGACCTGGTTGATCCTACCAAACTTTCAATGCCCCTTTTTAGCGGTTATAAAAACATACAATTTCTTCATTCACCGTTTCTAATTTATTTGTCAATCCTGACATCCCAGCAGACCGACATTCCAACACTTCGCAGAGCATTTAAACAAATCATTATTTTTAAATAACTGTTTTCTTTAAACCAATCGGTTAATTTTCGGGTAGCAATTTATTTTACAAAATACGCCTACTACTGTAGATCTACTTTGATATCGTGTTTAAAAAGTTGCCTTTTACATACTCTAAGTATTTCCCAAGGGTAACAATTGAGAATATATGTTTATTACAGATTAATTCTAAATTACATATCTGTATTTGGTAAATAATGACTATGTATTATTTATTATCAATCAATTTGTGAAATGTCGTAACAGATCGTGTTTTTGGGTAAGATTTGAGTTATGCTTTGTTTGATAAAGTGAATACACCTGCGCTGATTACCTTAATTTTTAACCTATTTATCTTTCTTATAATTCATTTAATACTCTAATTATTCCATGAAACTTTTCTTCAATAAACAGACTTCCGAACATTATTTCTTAAATGGGGCATCAAATATAAATTTACCAAGGCATATTAACATATAAATACCAATATAAATAAACTTATGTGTCTATGGGTATACAGAAAATATAAATAGATTGTTCTAATATATCTACAAAAACGTAAATAAATTTAAATTGGACTGCACACGGGAATGGCCGATCCAAAAACTGAGCTGTGTTGTGCATGCTCTGAAATCTGAAATTCAATCGAATCATGGAGCAGATTTCGTCAGATAGCAAATTACGATTTAAACGAATAGTCCCGAATGGTAGTGGTGGTTCATTCATTTCGGAAAAGAAATCTATAAATTTAAATGACCAAGAAAACATAACTCCGTTAACATTGAAACCTCAAAATAAATATCTCCGCCGGTAGTACACAAAAGCAGTGTATTTTAACGTACAGTCGAATGGATATATCTTGTGAAATATAGCATGCAGGTATAGTTTGTTGGCAGTTTATAATAAAGGATTATCTAGGGTTGTTGTTTATATAGATATAGTGTCATAACTGTAAATAGTTTTCGAGATTTTTTTTTTAGCTTGGGGCACCCTACATTTGAAATTAGGGTATTGAAATGGGTCATATATTCAGTAATTTTTTTCAGGTTTTCAGGTGCTTTAAACTCACATTTCTAATAGGAGTAGAACTTTCTAACTTTGTAATCTAAGGCAACTTGTGGTGTAGATTATGAATTTAACATCACACGCAAAGTGAGATTGACACATGTCGTGCCACCAGGTGGCAAAATGTGGAACAAATGAACTATTCACATTTTTATTTTCAGGATTTCCACAGCCACTGGCAAAGTCACTATTGCATACACAACCTCCAAAATTCACATAGTTAATGTCAGTTTGTCTTTTGTCAATTTACAAAAGATTCTGAGTCGATGGGATATATATTTCGAAATTCAATGCACACTGAAAATGTACAAAATATACCCATTTTCAC